TTTTTTTTTGCATATATTTGTTCATTTATTCATTCATTCTTTCATTCATTCGTTCGTTCATTTAATGCTACCGCCCATGGCCAGAGAAGCTGTACACACCCTCATACTGTGCACTTATATGCTCCAACATTAAATTTTAAAAGCCATATTTTGTCTGCAGATATTTACCAGCTTTGCACACAGTTTTCCTTCATATTCATTTTAGAAGATTTGTAGCAGGCTGTTCAGGTTTATTGGATGTTTTGGATGTTTGTGGACTGCAATATTCAAGCAGTGCCAAAGATTTTAAGTGGGGCTGAAGTCAGGACATTGACTGCGCAACTGTTTAAATCCACACAGTAGTCCGACTATGTTCCTAGTTGATCTAAGAAATTAGACCAAACCAATATATTTGCAAGAACTAATTTAAAAGTAGCTAATTTATAGTCCCATTCATATGCACACTATAAAAATGTATAGTTTCACTTAAATTGTGACAGGGTTAGTCTTAATTTAATATTAATAATAGTCTGCTTTTGTTCTGTCCATTCTTATTTCAGTTTTAAATCTAACCCCATTTCCAAAAAAGTTGGATGCTGTGCAAAATGTGAGTAAAAATAGAATGCAATAGTATGCAAATCATGTAAACTCTATATGTAATTGAAAATAGTACAAAGAACAGCATATCAAATGCTGAGACTGAGAAATGTTGTAGTTTGTTGAAAAATGTATGCCCATTTTGAGTTTGATTTCAGCAACATGTTCCAAAAAAGTTGGGATGGGGATATGTTTACCAAAGTGTTGCATCACCCCTTCTTTTAACAACACACTGTAAGTGTTTGGGCACTGTGGGCACTGCTGTAGTTTTGAAAGTAAAATATTTTCCCATTCATACTTATATATGTATGTCTGATATAGGATTTCAGCTGCTCAGCAGTTTGAGGTTTCCTAGTTGTATTTTTCATTTCATAATGCACCAAATATCTTCAACGGGTGACATGTCTGGACTGCAGACAAGCCAGTTTAGCTCACAGACTCTTTTCCTATGGAGCCATGCTGTTGGAATACATGCAGAATGTGGTTTGACATTGTCTTGCTGAAAAAAGCAGTGCCTTCCCTGAAAAAGACGTTGTCTGCATGGCAGTATATGTTACAAAACCTGTATATATTGTTTAGCATTAATGGTGCCTTCACAGATGTGCAAGTCACCCATGTCATGTGCACTAATGCACCCCCATACCATCACAGATGCTGGCTTTTAAACTGTGTGCTGATAACAACCTGGATGGTCTTCAGCCTGGAGGACGCAGTGTCCATGATTTCCAATTTAAAATTTTGATTCATCAGACCACAGGACATTTTTCCACTTTGTCTCAGTCCATTCTAAAGAAGCTTGGGCCCAGAGAAAGTGGCAGTGTTTCTGGATTCTCTTTATATATGATTTCTTCTTTGCATGGTAAAGTTTTAACATGCATTTGTGGGTACAGCGTAAAACTGTGTTCACAGACAATGGTTTTTGGAAGTGTTCTTGAACCCAAGCAGTGATTTCCACTACAGAATCAGGTCTGTTTTTAATTCAGAGGGAATTCTGAGGGCCCAGAGATCATGGCCCAGTCCATATTAGTTTATAGCCTTGACCCTTGCATACAGAGATCTCACTATATTCTCTCAATCTTTTAACGGTATTATATACAGTAGATGACGAAATTCACAAGTTCTTTGCTGTAGAAACATTATTCTTGAATCGTTGCACCATTTGCCCTCTGTGACTTTCACAGAGTGGTGAACCCCTCATCATCTTTACTTTACTTCTGAAAGACTCATCCTCTCTGGGATGCTCTGAAAATTAGCTTTTTTTGTTTTGCCACCTTCCCATACAGTCCGGAATTCTTGTGAACTGGTGCACTTATTCAGGTTTTTACAATTAAACTTAGTAGTTCCTGCAAGTTGATCTTTAGGCTATCTGCAGCTTTCCTCAGAAATCTACATCTTGCGTGCACTTAATTTTGTTTTTCTAGTGTCTGGGTGGTGTGATGGATGCAGCTTCCACTTCTTGGTTATTAACCTAAAAGTGCTACTGGAAAATCACTTGAAGATAATATTTTGCACATATTCAATTCATGCATTTGTATGACTTTTAAGTCAAAATAGTTGTAACTTTCCTTCAGGTTCACAGTCCTGACCAATAATGCATAAGCATAATTTTCAAAAATGTAGCTTTAATTGTTAATTTAATTGTAGTGCCAATTGTGAATAATCATTGGAAATTATTTTGAGTTACGCTTAGGCTCAATGTAAGTCTGGAAAACTGGCTCAGAGCCTTTTTGAAACAAATGTTCAAGGCTTCCTTGCTTCACTTTTGTATAAAAGCAATATAACACTCAAGGTTGTGTGTTCTTGCGAATAACATCATGGCTGTAACGATGTACGTATCGCTCATTAAATCACAGCTGTGATATTATTTATGATAATACAATCTCTCTGTCCTATTGCTTAACCCTTTAAACTCCAAGAGACCACTGGTTATAACTACATAACTTCCCTAAAGTTTTATAGGTGTAGTTGAGTAACTCTTGGTATTAATTAGAGATCGGAGGAGGATTGCCTGCTGTCTGCCAACAACTTTAATGTATTCCAAGGGTGCTTAATGTTCCATTTACACATTCAATATAGAAATACCTGGAGGGAAAGTGGGAGTACATTTACGGAAGCTTTGACCTAGCATGCGTACAGCCATACTAAATTAAGATTTACTGGGGTTTCGATCCTCCACCTTGCCAAGCACCCTACACTATACCAATAAGAGTCCTTGGGCAAGACTACTAACACTACCTTCGCCTACCTGTGTAAAATGATCAAATTGTAAGTTGCTCTGGATGAGAGCGTCTGCCAAATGCCATAAATGTAGATGTGCCTGTGTAACTCTTAAAATACACCCCATACCATGACAGAGTGCAGGACGTTGTTTACTAGCCATCTCCAAAGCCACTAATAAAATTTAAAAATGTTAGCTTTGGATTGGTCTGTGTGGTAAACCTGTGTGGTTTCCAAACACATGTTCTCCTTCGTTTGTAAGTCACTTGATTTTTCTTAAACTCACAGTTTGTAATATGAGCTAGTCTGACTGAATAATAAACAGCATGACTCCACACACAAGCCTGAAAAGCAGATGCTGAGCAGATTGTTCAGAGTTACTGTTTTATTCACGTGATGTAGAAGGTTAACTTTTAGTAAGCAAGTAAGCGAACCTACCTCAAGACCAGCAGAGAGAACTAGTGTGGCATTAGTATGGCACTGAATGCAGCAGCATTTGGTCAGATTTCTTTCATTTTGCCATTTTTAATGTATAGAAGACAAGGCTGAATCCAGAAGCTATTAAAAATATTCAGGCGGTTTTGTCAGTGGTTATGTATTTCCCGCTTTGCATTTTGGGATGCAGTATATCACGGAGATCTGGCTCATTCACCTGCGCAGAAATTGGTGTTCAGGTGGGCATACTCAAGGTTTTATAAAGCTGATTTTATTTTTTGGGGGGGCACATGCCATTTCCTGGTTTTTCCTGGTAGTGGATATGTACTTCCCACTTTGCATTTTGGAATGCAGTATATCATGGAGATCTGGCTGCTCTAGAAAATCATGTTGGTCACATACTGCATACTGCTTACTACTTTTGGGTGTAATCAGTATGTAATAGGCTATTTTGAATGGGCTGATAATAGATGCCAATAATTACATGCCTAAACAGATGTAAAGTAATCGCACACTTTCACAGATTTTTTTTTTGTCTTTCATTCCACCACTGTCACCACAATCCTGCTCAATAAAGAATGGGACACCCTATTTTTAAGCATTCATGAGGTAATTTGCATAGACCATGAGGCTCGTTCACCTGCGCAGAAACCGTTGTTCAGGTGTGCGTACTCAAGGTTTTATAAAACTGATTTTATTTTTTGGTATTTTTCCTGGTTTTTGTGTGCATACACACTTTCACTCTGGAATCCATGCAGAATTTTATAAATGAAACCCCTGGTGAGTTTGCTGGTGAGTCCTGGAATGTGGGAATGTCAGTGTCTGCTCACACATGAAGCAAAAAAAATAAAAAATATTAGAAGCATGGGCTGAAATGGAAAGGAGCTATCTTAGAAGACTGCTGAAATCCTTAACTGAGGATTGGCACTGTCATTAAAAGGGAATTCAACTGATTTTCAAAAATTCTGTATAATTCAGTCATTGAAATGTAAACAAAGTCATTCAGAGTAGTTTTATGTGAAACTGTATTCTAGAGAGATGCATTTCTCACATTTCTTTACAGTGGTTGGTGATGGGGAGCAGGGGCCACGATTTCTATGGCACAAATATAGCCATTTACTTTCCAGAACGATGAGTTGACACGAGTCTTCTAAGAATTTACATATTCATACATTGATAATGGTATAAAAAAGAGGTGAATTTGAGATTTTACCTTAGAACACCTACCATGTACCTCTCTGTAATGAATGCTTGTAAAACAATGTCTCAGGCATCAGGCAATGTATTCGTAATCATTTTTTTGTAATAGCTTCCAGTGAGGTAGCCTTTAGAGATATTAAACTCTTCAGACGTTTGGTTCTTATCACCAACACTGTGAAAGGTTCTGATGTGGCAAGGTTCTCTAGAACCAGCATTTCACATCAAACCACAACTAAATGCTTAACCAAGAATTAGAGAGGAACAATGCATGCGACCACTTTTGACTGGGGAGCTTATCTATTCTTACTTCTATTTATTGAATTGTGTGTTTGCAAACCTTGAATCTGTGACTTTTGCGGGTCAAGTGAAATAGCATAATATGCCCTAGGCTGCTTTTATCTCTGTTTAACTGAGATTACGTAGTGATATTATAATGTTTTCCACCTAGTAGAGGCTGCAAGCTACACACCAGCCATGAAGACTACTTAGTAAACCAACCTACTTTAATGTCAAACTAATGTGGACGGTTTGGTGAAAGCAGTGGAGGGAGGGGCATAAAACGATTGCTGCCGTTTATTAGCAACGCAAAGACTCTTCGCAGAGCAAATATAACAGTATAGCCACTCCGTGCAGCCTCTGTCAGTCACTCGTCGCCTCTCAGTACTCCGGAGTATCACCTCTTCTCATTAATGCTGCACAGATTTCGCGGATTGAAGAATCACACTCGTTAAACCGCTATGGATACTTACTCCTACCATCTACACATAAGAAAACTTCCCATTAATATATCGTTTTGTTTGTAGTTTTTCAGTGTCATTTTGACAATCATTAGAATTCCTTTCATGCTCATTTTACTTCGTTGGAAGACGCGGAAACATCACATCACATAGGTTTCTGCCACTTTATATCTTTCCTAGTGCATTTTCCAAATGCAGACGCGGTCGATATTCTTAGGATTTTTGGTGGAGGTCCATTCTTCTTACCACAGCGCCAAGGAAATGTTCAGTACTCGAAATCGACGACAGGACTAGATGTGGAAAAGATCCTATGCCATGGGTAAGAGTAAAGAGCATCGTAACGTTTTTAGTAAAACGTGAAATATTTATTGTTTATTATTTGGTTTTATGTAATTACAAAGATCCGTGCAGACACTTGCTACTGATTCGTCACCAGACCATCCCTAAGCAACAAAATAGTGACTCATTCCTGGCATATGTGTTTTGGGGAAGGTTGTGCGTTGTTTGTGTGCTTAAAAGGTTCTGCTTATGCGGGCTGTCAATCTTCACACTCTGCTCTCTGCCACTGTATCACACTGCGCTAAAGTTTTAATTGAAATGCTTAAATCAAATAGTGAAATATTGATTATTATTGTTTAAAAGTAACTGCAGCAATACAATAGGAAATGATAAGATTAGGGCTGTGTAATACATCTGTAATAACATTTTTCGTCTCCTATAATGTTTGTGTAGTGCCGTCTTAAGGTAATATATAATATGCATGTAATGTGCATGTATTCTTATTAGAATGTTATTGTAGTACTGATGGCAGATGATAGTACTGATGGCAGATGGTGTATATATATATATATATATATATATATATATATATATATATATATATATATATATATTTACTGTAACTATGAGTTAAATGCAAATAACTATCAAGTCTGAGTCATACTGACACACATTTATAGTACAGGATCTCTCTCTCTCTCTCTCTCTTTCTCTCTCTCTCTCTCTCTCTCTCTATATATATATATATATATATATATATATATATATATATATATATATATATATATATATATATGTGTATTGGGTCTTATTGATAGTACCTTTGCTGAAACATGCACTATTCCTCATTTCCTTACATAAGAAGTGTGCTGCAACATTAGCTGTTCTTCCTGTTCTTGTGCCATATTCTCAGAGGATTGGCCTTAGTTTGGCTCATTAGGATTGTATTGATTGAAATCCACAATGAGCACAAATATCTTTTAATGCTATAATGAATCAAGCATATGAATTAAGAGGGTCCTCTGTCCATGAACATTTCTGATTCTGTGTGCAGCCTCTGAGGATGATGTGTGCTAAAGTTACTGTAGATCTTCTTTGTCTCACTGGAGCCTGGCTGGCATACAGTGTCCATGAATTAATGAATCATAGACACTTTTATTTAGTTTGTAAATTCTACATTTGCCAGACATTGTTTTATCTGTTTACTTTTCTATTGTAACCTCTTCATTAGTAATACTACTTAAAACTCCAGCTCAGACCAGTAGCCTTTGATCCAGTTTAATTTCTGCCTTCAGGTTTCTGATAACACTGGCAATGTTAACCACCTTAATTGGAGATCTGTTAAGTTGGATGGCAGTAGAAGATCTTGGGCCTTGGATTCATGTTTGTTTGATTGAATGGCTGCCCAGTGGACAAGTAGGTCCACCAATAGTTGGTTTTAACACTCCTTCAACATGGGCCATTCCTGATAAATCAAGCAAGCACGTCAACTTAGTAAGTTATTTTTTAGATAAATAAATAAAGCACATTTATTTAGTATATCATTGCCCATAAAGAAAGAAGCTTAATCACTTTTCAAGTTGATTGAATGAACATGACATACCTTGAACAGACTATTTATTCATCCTCTAATATTTACTGTCATTAAGAAATGTATTAGAATGGTGGCAATGCTTCATTGCATCTACTGAATGCTAAGCTAGCTAGCTAATAATGCTTGCTTCAGGAGCTTTGAGAGAATGACTATCATAAAAGATAGTATACACTTTCCTCTGACCTACTAATCTGTTACAATATTCCACAGATGTCATTAAACTCCAGTTTCTTTATAGTGGTAGTAATAGGAACCAAGGGCTGTGATGTCTTCAAGGCAATAGCTATTTTATTTACTATGCAAAACAACCAAGCTACAAGGATTTCTGAGTTCTAAATATAATGATAAAATTGTAGTAAATCCAAAAAAGCCTTATAATGCCCTCAATTACCTCTCTTCCATGAGTGTACAATTTAGGCCAAAAATATAATTTAGGCTACAACCTTATCTCAAAACTATCATAAAACAATGTCTCACTGTTTCTGTGAGGTAGGTTTTAGAGGCATTAAATGCTTCGGATGTTGGTTTTTATCGCTACCGCTGAGAACTATTCTGACCTCTGGCAAGTTTCTCTAGAATTTCATCAGTGATGGATTAGACTCTGCTGATGGATGACTGCTTACATCTTAGCAACTTAGTTTTTGAAAAATTGTATGAAATGTTATGTGCGGATAATGTCATGTGCCCAGTGACTGCATTACAATTTCAGCTTATTGTTTCTATATGCATGAATTAGTAAGCATGAAATAACATGTTCTTTGATCTTGTGATTCTAAAAAGATATTTTAGAATTGCTTCACTGAGTCACATTGCCCAGTAATCTGCTTCTGTTGCAGACTGTACTAAGCAAGGAAATAAATTAATTATTTGTTAAAAAAATAAATGTATTATCCCAATTAACCCAAATAAGAGAAGGACATTTGCTCTTCTTAGGCAAACATGAATATGACACTTTCACTTGTACAGTAATTTACGTCTGTCATTTAGTACATATTACTTTGGGGATAAACGGATAAAGGCCCAAAAACAACCCACAAGTGCATTACTACAGCAAATTTCAAAGCTATATCACAATTGAGCCTATGACATAGCATTAACACAACCACGCACATATACATGTTCAAACCTGGGCACTGTCTTTAGGGGAGTAACTAAATGGTTTTCACACATTTGCTTTATTTCATTTGCCAGCTTTTAGATTTATTTCTTGCACCTTTGCCATGTTTCGTCTTGTTCTTTAATCATCTTCTGTTGACTCCTGCTGGGGTAATATGCTCTGTGACAGTATAATGAAACACTGCAGCATTCCTTTGAAATATCACCTTGTCCTTCTGCCAAGAGAGATGGCAGTCACCCCTCTCTCCCTCTCTCAGTCTCTCTTTCCAGCACTCCTGCTGTCCAGTGCCCTTTTTTGAAAACCACAGGCCTTTACAGATACCTGTAAGCACAATAGTGAAATTGTTCAGTTTGCGCTTACTCAGTAAAAGAAACAATAAACAAGCTTGTATTTGCATCTTTTGCCTGCCAGTAATGTTTTAATGGCTTGCTCCAAAATACTTGACTGATCAGTGATCACACAATTACAGTAGGAAATGTTACACTGGCTGTAACAATGTATCTGATGCGATTGCATTGTTGGAACACCACAGATTGCAAATGAACAACATAGTGTAGCACTCCTCCTGCTTCCCAACTCTGGCTGATGTTGTTAGTTGGTTGTGCAAGAACATGATTATAGTCATAATTTTTCATTTTTTGTTCAAAATGGCATAAACATACTGAATTCTGAACCGAGTATCAGTCAAAGCTTTATCACCCCTAGTATAGAACTGTGTGCACATAAGCAGCAGTGTTTAATCAAATTATTTAACTAAGTAGGCTATAAATGGCTCATTCATTTACTTACAAGGTAGTCTAAGACAGCAGTTACTTGCAAGGGACCACATGCTTTTGCTGTTGTCTCCATTTTCATATCTAAAGCTTTCATTATGCGTCCCTTATGCATTCTTATGCATTTGGCATGCCTTGATAAGCTCCACTAATGCTGATCAGGGTGTGCACTGTGCTGCTGCTATTGTTCTGTCTGTATTCAAATATTTCTGCAGATAAAATGGTCTTTGTTTACAGCACACCACATATTTATTATACCAATAGGATGCTGGTAGACACAACTGATGACTATGTAAGTAGTTTGGCCTGCCTCATTGGATTTTGCTTTGCTGTTGCACATCCCTGTTTGTTTAAAGACCAACAACACTAATACTTGCTCGCCCACTCAGTCACGCATGCACTTATGTGTTGCTTCTCTTGAGTTGAAGCTTGCACTGACCCAGAATGTTCTCTGTTTTTTCCCCTGTCTGTTTCTCAGGAGGCTCCTTAGTTTGGGATGGGCGCCTGTCATGTTTCCTTTTCCATGCCTCTGTTCTCCTGCTGCTCAGCAAGGGGGAGAGGGTGTGCCCACTGAGTTGTCGTTGTGAAGGCAAGATTGTTTACTGCGAGTCTGGTGCCTTGAAAGACATCCCAGAAAACATCTCCCTAGGGTGTCAAGGTCTATCCCTGCGATATAATAGCCTTCTGATGCTGCAGCCATACCAATTTGCCAACCTTAATCAACTGGTTTGGCTTTACGTAGACCATAACTCCATCAGTAAGATAGACAGCTTTGCCTTCCAGGGGCTGCGCAGACTTAAAGAGTTGATTCTGAGTTCCAATAAGATAATGCAATTGCAGAACAGCACTTTCTATGCTGTACCAAACCTGCGCAACCTTGATCTGTCAGACAATCAGCTTCAAGCTCTGAAGCCAGGGCATTTCCATGGACTGCGGAAGCTTCAGAACCTTTATCTCCGATCCAACAGCATTAAATCCATTCCTACAAGAACATTTCTGGAGTGTCGTAGCCTCGAATTCCTGGATTTGGGCTACAACCGGTTGCGTGCTCTGGGGCGCGCAACATTTCTGGGGCTGCTCAAGCTGACAGAGTTGCATCTGGAGCATAACCAGTTTTCCAAGATCAACTTTTTCCTTTTCCCACGCCTCTCAAATCTGCAGGCATTGTATCTACAATGGAACCGCATACGAACAGTGAATCAGGGATCGCCATGGGATTGGCATACCTTGCAAAAACTGGATCTTTCAGGCAATGAGATTCAGGTCTTGGATCCTGATGTTTTTAGATGTTTACCCAACTTGCAGACACTCAATCTGGAGTCTAACAAGCTTAGCAATGTTTCCCAGGAGGTTGTGTCACACTGGCTTTCTGTCAGTACCATCAATCTGGCAGGAAACATATGGGACTGCAGTTCTACCATCTGCCCTTTAGTGTCCTGGCTAAAGAACTTCAGAGGCAGTAGAGATGCCACCATTATATGCAGTAGTCCCAAATCACTTCAAGGAGAGAGGGTAATGAGTGCTGTGCAGAACAGCTTGATATGTGAAGAGCTATTCACTGTAGAGCCAACTACAGAACTTACTGCACTCCTGACCACAACTACCACAACTTCATATACCACAAAACCTTCCACAATCTCAACCACTACTGCAACCACAGCCCCCACTACAACCAGACAATCTCCCCATGTTACCATCATGCAAAGACTTACCCCAAAGGCTTTATTTCCTGGTCTCTCTGATAATGGTGCTTTGCCTTTACCTTCTGTGACTCCCAGCAGCCTACCCTTTACCCCAGAGCCAGAATTTGAGTACATGACCTTTCACAAGATAATTGCTGGTAGTGTGGCACTCTTTCTGTCTGTGTCACTTATCCTTTTAGTGATCTACGTGTCATGGCGACGGTATCCCAACAGTATGAGGCAACTCCAACAGCATTCGATCCGACAGAAGCGCAGGAAAAAAGCACGGCAGGCTGAGCATAACATCAGTTCTCAACTTCAGGAGTATTATCTGAGTTACAACCATGCCAGTGCAGAAACCATGGATACACTGGTCAACGGGGTGTGCACATGCACCATCTCAGGCTCCAGAGAGTGCGAGGTATGAACCATCCCTAAAACATGCATTCTCTGCAACGGGGGAGTCAGAGGTAAAGGTTTTTTAAGAGCATGAGAGCCTGTATAGCCATTTCCCCCTTTCCCCCATTCTTACTGAATCTCTCAATGAAATTCCATACATAATCTTAGTAAATTGTGTAAATCCTTATGTTTATCAGTGACAGTAGTGATGAACTCTCTTTGGGTCACATAAAATTTTTTATAACTTTTTAGTACCAGTAACTATAAAAGGAAGGTTGTTGGTCTTAGGGTCTTTTTAGATATTTTGTCATTTTTATCGATGCAATACACGCTTTATGGTTAGATCGTCTGTCCTTTATAATTTGTGTTTGTTATAATCAGTGTAGATGTTTTGTTTAGCAGTCACTAAACCATTTTTGGCTCCAGGTACATCATTCATGTAACCGTGTCTCAATGCAGGGGATATATTGTTTTCTTTTTTATTTCTTTTACTTTGTCTTTTAAATGTCCCTACTCTTACAGAAAAATACACAAGAAATTTACATGCGAATAACATACATTTGAAAAAAACATATGATCATATATGACAAAATGTATGATCATGTGAAAAAATGTGATCACATAAAAGATTTCATGAACTGTTTCATGCCACATTAACTTGTAAACATGTTCTTTGTACACTTCACATGTGAACTATATGTGGCTTTTCTGTAAGGGTAATACTGTGTTTCACTTCACGCTATGGTATGGAAGTAAAATGCGCTATGATTTCTGATTCAAGTTGACTTTAAAAATTTCTCATGCTATGTAAAATGGGATGTGAGAAGTCACGACTTTAAATGTAAATAGATGAGAGGCAGTATCATTTAGGACACTGAGTGCTTTCTCTCCTACTCCTTTTGGCTGATGCTGAATTGTTTGTTTTGTAAAAATTCAAACAAAATAGTTGTGATATTTAACTGTAATACAGTTCGCTTCCATTCCCATCTTATCCCTGGATGAAAAGACAAGGACAGACTGGGTGTTACACAATAATACACGGTCAGGCTGGGTAAGATGTTACTCTCCTTTTGTTCAATACTATATGCTTCAGTGTAGGAGTTACTGACCTTCGTCCTGTGTGTTGCCATGGTGATAAACGGAAAAGCACTGAGTTGTCACCAAGTCTGACATTCTGAAGCATTTTACTTACTATTTATATAGAGCTGTCATGATTGCTCCCCCCTTCTATTCATTAATTGTACAAATGAAAGAGAGTAATATGCGCTTTTTATAGAGCCAGGTTTAGTTATTTCTTTGAAAAGGTACAATATTATGGTGTTTGTGACAACTGAGCATACGTATTAGAAATTTCATTTTTACCTTTGTTATTAGTTACACTGGAAGATTAAAGTAACTGCTTACAACACCAAACATTACAGATTTTAGTAACTAAATTCTTATTAAAAATTTTATTCCTTCTGGTTAAAACTGGAACTCTTGTTCAGCATAAATAGCATGAAATAGCCTTACATATTATTAATCTTCTTAAAAACAAATGTACAGTCTGATAGCACAGGTTCACCCATAAAATCAAGCACATATAGCCATCAAATCTCCATTGACAAATGTTGGCAGTAGAATGGGTCATATTGAAGAGCTCCGGAAGTTTAAATGTGGCACCGTTATAGGAAGCTAACTTTTGCCACAAGTCAGTCTGTGAAATCTCTGTCCTGCTAGATCTGCTCTAGTCAACTGTAAGTGCTATCATTGGGAAATGGAAGTGTATAGGAGCAACGGCTCAGCCAAAAAGTGCTAGACCACGCAAACTCACAGAGCAAGGACGCCGAGTGCTGAAACAAGTAAAAATCGCCTAACCTCTGCTGTATCACTCACAACAGAGATCCAAACTGCCTCTAGGAGCAACATGGAAGCCGAGCAACTGTACATAAGCCTAAGATCTCTATGTGCAAAGGCCAGGTGCACTATGTGAAAAGCCAAGTGCACCTGCAGTGGTGTAAAGCATGCTGCCACTGGACTCTGGAACAGTAGAAATGTTCTCTAGAGTGATGAATTGCATCACTATCTGGCTACTTACTTATGCATAATGCCAACAGAAAAGTTTGGTGAAGGAGGTATAATGCTCTGTGGCTATTTTTCAGGGTTTGGGCTTAGCCCCTTAGTTCCAGTGAAGGGTAATGTTAATGCTACAGCAGAAGAAAACATTTTAGACAATGATAAGCTTATATGCTGAAGGTCCTTTCCTGTGCCAGCATGACTGCGTCCCTGTGCACAAAGCAAAATCACGTTTGGGATGAACTGAAGCATCGATTGTTAGCCAGTCCTTCTCATCCAATGTCAGTGCCTGACCTCACAAATGCTCTTTTGACTGAATGGGCACATCTACCCTCAGAAACACTCCCTGGAAAAACTTGTGGAAAGCCTTCCCAAAGGAGTGGAGGCTGTTATAGCTGCAAAAAAGGGGGCAGCTTTGTATTAATGTCCAAGCTTATATAGGTGTGATGGTCAGATGTCCAGATAATTTTGGCCATAAAGTGTATATATAGACATTCTTCTAAAAGATTTTCTCTCAAATGCTGTTTTGAAGATAGTGGTTGACAGCACTCTTAATCATGTCAGCCCATAATCTCCCAAAGGCGTTTACTTGAGTTGAGATCTGGTGACTGTGAAGGTCAAAGCATATCATTTATATAACATTCACATCATTTTCATACTCATCAATCCTGTTGATGGGGCAATTGTCATCTTGGAAGAGACCACTCCCATCAGAATTCAAATGATTTATCATAGCTTAAAGGTTACCAGTCAGAATAACTTTGTATTTAATTGCAGTAAGTAACAACACAAAAGGAACCAGAGCATCCCCACAGGATAACATATCTACCACAGCCGTTCACTGTAGGGGTCAAGCATTCAAGCTTGTATCATTCTCTTGGTTTATGCTGTACATGCACTCGTGAACTTGTGGCTTTTTTTGGGCCAAGTACCAGTCCTTCATAGGATTAAGTGCATTTACTAATACATAATTTCACAATTGACTTGTAAAATTTAATAAAATTATGTGAAATGCTCCCATTTTGTGAGCTTGTGTGGCATACAACTTTGTGGCTGAGCTGTTGGTGATCCTTTACACTGACAGCAGTTACAGTTGAGTGAAAATAATAAAATTGAGATGTCATTTTTATCTGTTGAAAAAGTAAGTACACCCATGGCTTCAGTAACTGGTACTGCCCCAAAACATAACCTTTCCACCACCATGCTTTACAACTTGTATGAGGTTCTTCTTCTCAAATGCTGTCTTTGGTTTTCGCCAAACATGGCTTCTGGTACTGTGGCCAAAAAATCTTTGATTCGTCTGTCAGTAGCACATTGTTCCAGAAGTCCTGGTCCTTGCCTAGATATTAATAAGCAAACTTTAGTCATGTCTTGATGTTCTTTGTAGAGAGCAAAGGTTTACTCCTGGCGCACCTCCCATGTAGATCAAATTTGTGCAGTCTTTTTTAAATTGTAGATGCATGCACTTTTACATCAGCAGTGGCAAGACCTACCTGTAGATGCTGTGATAAAATTTTGGAGTTCTTCTCGAGTAATTTTTCTCCATTAGAGTTCATGTGCAAAAAACAATAGATGCAATGTGTGCACAACTCCATACTGGACAGAAAGTGCAATATTTGGGTGTAAAAGCCAAAGTTTCATAACTAACATAGTGCACTCTAGCAGGGAGCAGTGAACCATTTGAAATTCAGCCTTAGGATTTTCCAAGGTATAATCTTATAGATGTTTAATATTGCCCATTAATGGACTGTTTTTGCTGCAATTTTCAGCGCTTTACCTAGTTGTTTTATGTTAAAGAGTGTTAATTTGCTCAACAACAACAACATGAAATTCCATCAGAGTTATCTGCTTTCACCATTTTTTTTTTTCAGTGGAGTTTAATGTAGTAAGTTCCCTGTATTTTGTTATTTTTACCTAATCAAAACAACCCAGATATAACCTGATATAACTGTTTGATTTATGAAATGAAAATTCAATTAAATGGAGATATCTGCTTTTGCAACTGAACTCTTCACTTATAGATGATATTCCAGAAAGTGGAATGATTGATTTTCAGTATTTTGGATATCTTCTTAAACACCTTCCCAGTCTCAACTACATCTTTCTTTCTGAAGGTTTCAGAGAGCTCTTTTCATCTAGGCATAATGATACCGCATACTCCAATATCAAAGAACAAACCAGACCAGGTTTCTAGTTTAAATAAGTTCCTCAAAGATATTCTCTAAAATTCTTTATAATCTGTTCAAATCATTAGCACCTGGACAGGTGCACTTGATTTCAATTTGACATGTTCGAAGTAGTAATATATTAGGAGTGTACTTATTGCGCTTATTGTACTTATTCTCTACGTTTTCATGGGGTATACCTACTTACATATTTTAAATATATTGTTGCATAGCTTATGTGTATAAAATAATAATAATAATAATAATTCATATGTTGAGTATTTTATATTGTTACCTAGTACTTAATTCAGTCTGCCATAAACTAGTGTGGCTTAAATATAAACTTAAAAGCGAACACCAAAAGAAAGATAAGATATTAATATAAGAAACAAAAGAGCTTTAAAATTTTGTGGAGAAAGGCATGGGAGTGAACTCAGTGATGCTTAGAGTCTCTCTTTAGGAAAGTGAGTTATTAGGGCTCCATAAGCACAGCAAAAGAGTGCACATTATTAAATCATACTGTTACCATTCAGCTATGCACTGTCATTACAATAATAATTACAACTTATTATGTGGTCTGAACTAGGATCTGATGTCGGCTGTAAAATGTGCTTGGGGAAAAAAGTGGTCTTCCAGAATTTACAGAAGTCCAACATTAAAGAAGATTTCCACTTTCAACCCAAATTTTCTTCATTTTTTCTTTGTTACTGTTTTGCTTATTTGCCTTTTGACAATGGTTATATTTATTTCTTTTTCAATGCCCCTTCCACCCCATCAAGTAGGTGCCCCATCACTGGCCTTCCAAACT